ATTTTCTCGTTTTTTATTTATCTAAAATTAAGTCAAAAATATCTAAAACGATGAAGGTGCTACCGACATTGGTTTTCAACTTAAACCGTTGGATCTACAGAACCTTTAGTCTTGTTAAACATATCCAAACAACAGCTCAATCCAACAATTAGATGTGAATATACGATTGATTTTCTTCTTGTTGGATGGTTTTGGAACCAAATCTGGTTGCAGATTTTCTTTAATTACAGTTTTGTAATTAAGTGGAACTTTAGGGGTATTTTGGTAATTTGTCACATTCGGAATATTTTATTATTATTTGATTCATAAGCATCATAAACAAAACTTTAAACCAAACCACCACATCTAGATCAGCTAAATAAGGTTCATTTGAAATAGTTCTTGTTTTCTTTTATTAAATGACGGAACAATTTGATAACTATTTGAAAACCACGTTTATTATTCTTAATAATCCAAAATGAATTAGAATTTTGGAAACTCCTCATTCTCAATTTGTTTTAAACCATAATGAACCTTTAAATTGTTATTTTACCATCTATGATCGAGTTGCGAAATGCCTTATTATGGTAAGTCCGTATTTCCCTCCTCTAATATGTCATTTCTCAATGAAAATGTATTACCTTATTATTTATGACATATTGTAAAGTGTCTTTTTGTATCATATATTTGTATTTTCATGTCCTTATATAAACCCAACATTTTCCATTAATTTCTCTCAAAATTGGGAACTTAAATAAATGGGTCTACTACACTGTGACTGTCTTCTAATAACAATTGGTTGTGAACTTGATTCGATGGACCTCCTTGTATTTTACATTGTGTTAGCATTTTTTAATACTGTCACAGTCGTAGAATATACAACGTCACGATTTTGACACAATCATGAAAAACCATTTTTTTGCCTGACATTATGGCTTCATTAGACTTTAGACAATGTTCGTCACTAACTGAACATGACTTGTATAGAAACTAAACTTTGTTCAATCACGCATGTAGCAACTCTAACTGACTTGCCTCTACTCTAGGCCAAGCTTTGGACGAAAACTAAAGTCGTAGCTATTCCAAGGTATCAGCTTGTGGACTCCCAAGTCATCATCGTCAGATTTGCAGTGAACAGTGAGCTGATTTTTAGATTTTAGAACATTTGTTATCTTGAATATAATATTTGGGTTTTGGATGAATGATCCTTCGATGATAGTGAATTGGTTAGCAAAGAATGATGAAATTAAGAGAGAATGTGCAAGTGTTGAAAATAAACTCATTGTTGAAATTGGAGAGGAAAAGAGATTTGTATGAACACATTTGTGCTTGATTTGTTTCACTTTTTATAGTTGAAAAAGAGTGTAATGGAAGATAACAGTTGATCCGTAATAACCATTACTGTTGTTAAATTGGTTATAATAAAAATAGAATCGTGATTGATAACGTGTTATTTTTTAAATCGAAAAATATATGCTTGAAACTCATTATGGGTTATTGCTCTCTAAAATTTTTTGAATTAAAAATGTAAAAGTATAATATGGAAATTAGTTTTATGTTATGATCGTTCGGGTCCTTCACCTAGTCTTATTTTCGCTCATGTTCTTGACCAACGGGACTTTTATCTAGTCATCATATGTAAGGACCGGGCTGACTCAATACTCCAAAAAGACGAGTAAACTTTCACGAAATAAAACAAGCAATATTGAAAACATAACATTACTTAAAACAAAATAGTGTTCATACATGAGTAATTAAAACACAATACAATAGTTAAAACACAAAATATTTCAAAACAAATGGGTTGAAGACGATTGGTGAGGCTTGTCTATGACACCTGCTCTAGAGTCCGCTCCCAACCTCGACTAGCTCCTTATTACCGGAAAAAAAATGCAAAATAAGGAAGGAGTACAAGACAAAGCAAGTAGCTTACTTGTAGGCTCTTAATCGTGTCCTTGATATGCTAGGATATCTCACTCTTTTTTTTTTTTTTGTTCTTGTTTTTGTTGTAAGTACTTAGTTCTGTTTCTGACTTAGAGTTCTGTTAAGAATGAGAAATAGAATTGGGATCGAGAGTGCAATCTTCATTAATAGTCACAACTTTTAAATAGGACAAAGTTACAAACTACTACCTAAAAATAAGGGAAAATATAAACAACTAAATCTTGAGAATAAAATAAAATATAGTACTAATCAAATCATAAAAGAAAAAATATTAACTCATTACATTACGAATATCTAAGATATATTCCACAACTAATTATTATAATATATTTTTCAAATATTGTAGGTTAATACTCTCCCTCAAGTTGGGGAGTATATGTCAATCACACCCAACTTGTCTTTAAAAAAAATCAAATTGATTTCTTCCCAAATTTTGAGTGAAAATATCTGACAATTGAATTTTAGTCAAAACATAACATGGTTCGATGATTCCATCTTGTAATTTTTCTCGAACTATATGACAATCTATTTCAATTTATTTCGTACGTTTGTCAAAAACTTGATTGGTTGCTATGTGTAATGCTGCTTGATTATTACAATACAATAATGCTGGTTCGAATAGTGGAACTTTCAGCTGATGATCTGCACACATTGGTTTGTTTTTTAGACTTCCAAGGAATAATTGAATTTCCAAGGAAAATGCAGAACCCAGAAATTGACCGTCTGGAAGTTCGACAACCACCCCAGTCTGAGTCGCAATATGCTTGTAATCATAAGTTGTTTTCAGATGGTAATACAAGTCCTTCACTAATTGTACCTTTGATGTATCTCAAAACTCAAAGAGCTTCCTCCCAATGTGGTTTTCTTCGTTCATGCATAAATTGACTAAGCATACAAACTGAATACACTACATTAGGCCTAGTAATAGATAAATATATTAATCTGCCAATCAACCATCTGTATTTACTTGGATCATCAACTTCTGTCCTTCTGTTAAAGAAAGTTTCAGATTTTGCTCCATAGGAAATTTTTCTGGACGTGCTCCTGTGTCTTGAAGAATATCAATGCCTATTAGTAAATAAAGAGAATATCATACTTCCTTTGCAACATAAAAATTTATTTTCTAGAACTAAAAAATTCAATGCCTAGGAAATATTTCAAATTCCCTAAATCTTTGATAAGGAATTTCTCGAGTAAACTAGTCTTGTTGAATTTTCTTGAGATTATTGTCTGTCAACAGAATATCATCAACATATATAAAAGCTAACATGAAAGAAGTACCTTCACTATTAGTAAATAAAGAGTAATCTGCTTTGAACTAAGCGTAGCTTGCATTTTGTATAGTGGTAGAGAATATGGAGAACCAACTACAAGAAGCCTATTTTAAAGTATAAAGAGATTTATGGAGCCGACATACTGTAATTTCCCCGTGCCGATGAATACCTAGTGGTAAAGATATATAGACTTCCTCGTTTACATTGCTTGGAGAAAGACATTTTGAACATCCAACTGATGAGTGAACCGTTTTCGAGTAAGGACAATAGTGAGTAAGCAAACAAAGTGTAGTAAGTTTCGCTGTGGGAGAAAATGTTTCTTTGTAATCAATACCTTCAACTTGAGTGTATCCCTTTACTACCAGTCGAGCTTTATAACATTCAACAGAACCATCAGAGTTGTGTTTAATCTTGTACACCCAACGATAGCCAATAGCTTTATGGGCAGGTGGTAGAGGAATGAGAGAATGCAATTTCATCATTCATAGCCTGCTGCCATAATAGGTCGCCAACTACCTCATCATAGGTTTTAGGTTTTGTATGGGCGTAATAAGAGCTAGAAAAGCACGTTGAGTAGGAGAAAAATGAGAGAATGAAAGGTAATTGTCATGACCCGATGTTCGAGGTCAAAAACTCGGACCGTGACCCAAAAGACGAAAAAAAATAAACAAAAAAATAAAAGAAAGAAAATAAAAGTAAAATAAAAGATAAAAATACCATTCAATAAAACAAAAGGAAGAGAAGATTTGTAAAATGAAATACAAAAGACTCCAATAGACCGACAAGGGACTGACGCTCCAAAACGACCCCCTCTGTGACCGCACAGCTCTCGAACGCTCCTCCACCTTGACTGGTACCTGAAAAAAAAGAGTAAAAAGGAATGAGTATAAAAATTATACTCAGTAAGCCTTCTACTTGTAGGCTCTTATCGCATCCAAATTTTGACAAACTTCCACGGTCTTTTTCTTTGGCTCTAGGACATCTAGTTCAGGTCTTAGCTCTTTAGGTCTTGCCCCTTGGAACTTGCCCTTTGGGGCTTCTTTGGTCTTCGTCCTTTCATTTATACCCCTAGAGTTCCTTTATGCTAACCTGTGTTTGACTGGTGCTCTGCGAGTGGCTACCTCGGCATGGCTTTGAGATTATCCAGTGTCTTACCTAGGAAGTGAGTTGTAACCCCATAGTCCCATGGTAATCCCCCTGTATTTGGGAGGGCTACCTCCCGTATCCCATCCAGCTAAATGGTCAGTTACGACGTGGGTCTCCCTTTTCCCATGCTAAAACGGCTATCGAGCAGTCAAGTCTTGATCACACACAAGTAGCCTAAGGGTACTCTAGAGGTGCTTTGTGTGTCGTGGTTGTTTCTTAGGCTCCTAGGAAAGGGTTAAGTCTATACATAGTGACTTGTCACTCTAACACAAATCCCTAGACTTTATCAAACCTGTGGGTCGGTGAGAATTAACTGAGTGTGCACACATCTATCATCCAACATCATCATACAAAATTCATGCAAAGTAAACATACATGCTCAACGAGGCGATAATATCCATCAAGTCCCGGAGCTCAGAGTTCATAAGTTCCCATCCTCCTTTCAGCATGAATTAAACATATACATATAAAGTGAAAGCTTAAAACATAATTGCAACACTCTATAATTCTCAAAATACTTCATATAATACATCCGTACTCTTAACAACAAAATTACATACATTCAATCATGGAAAGCTACCACATAAGGTAATTAAACTAGCATGCATGCATAACTAAGCGACTCCTACAAGTATTTCTTCCTAAAGTTCCGTGTGGTGACTTACCTGATTGACGCGTGTTCTTCGTTGAGCATTTCTATACCAATAGCGTGTCCACAAATACTGATTTTTCTCATTTAAGTCCTATTTCATATAAAAATAGGGCCAGAGTTGGAATCGAAAGGGAAATCGAGCAAACAGAAGTCGAATGGGCTGAAAACAGCACCTCACGCACGTTCACGTGCCTGGGAAGGTGTTACACGCGCACGCCCACGCGTGCGTACGAACGCGCATGAGGGAGGGAAGACGCACGTTGAGGTATTGCCATGTGGCGCCCGCTGAACGGTCAATCGAGGTCAAGGTCATCGGTTCGAAATCGGAAGGACTCGCTGGAAATCCGAATTCTTTTACGCTAACGCATGGCAACGCGAAGCCGAGTCGGTGATCCAGGTTGCGCGCAGGCCATCAGTCGTGGACTCGGGTAGTGACTGCCGGTGTTTGAATCCTGCCCGACGCAAAGTATTTCATTGAATTTCTCTGCCAATACACGCCGGACACGTCTTGTTAAGGATAGTTGACCGTTCATTAAGGCAAATATCTAGATATTTGCCTTACATTACGGGTTACCATATTTTCTCTTTTACTAAATGCAAATATATTGTATTCATTTATTATTCTTTCCTTTTATCGCTATTTCCTTATTATTTGTAATTTACCTTATTTCTGTATTCTGTAAATGATTATAAATAAGAGAACTCTCACCACCATTTGGGTGTGGTGGATTAATCAAACATTCACATGGTATCAGAGCCCTTTCGATTTAACAACCCTGATCCTTTCTTCTCTATGGCTTCCGAATCTTGTTATCATCTTCTTCCTTTCAATACTCTAATCCATATGATCACCATCAAACTTTCTTCCTCCAATTATCTTCTTTGGAAAAGCCAACTTCTCCCTCTTCTTGAGAGTCAAGACATGCTGGGCTATGTCGATGGAACTATGGTTCCACCACCTCGCTTTGAACCAGAAACCTCCTCAACATTCAACCCCAAATATTTGGCATGGAGAGCAGCCGATCAACGACTTCTCTGTCTCCTGCTCTCCTCTCTCACTGAGGAAGCCATGGCTGTTGTCGTTGGTCTCTCTACTGCACGTGATGTTTGGCTTGCGTTGGAAACTACGTACAGCCATCAGTCAAAAGCTCGTGAACTGAGACTCAAGGA